TGAAATAAGTTATTTTTAAATAATTTCTTAGTGGAGACATAGCCCTAGAAACTTGAGGCTAAGGAGCACTTGTTTTTCCTAAGGAGCACTTGTATTCAACATTTCAACAAGTCGGATCCACGTAAGTCGGGGACTGCCTGTACTGGATTTAGGTGCAGGACAATAAAAGCTGTAGAACTGTAACCATACTGGCAAAGTAAATAAAACTGAAAAAAAAAATCCAAAGATACGATTGTCTGACTTGAATCCAAAGAGGGGAAAAGAATTTCCTCATTGTTCCAAAAGCACTTCAGTAACAGGCCTACTGACAGAAGGGAGGGGGCAAAGGCAGTTGCCCTAGGGCCTCATAAAGGGCCCGGGGTTCCTGGTCATCACTTCTGTTACTGTGGTAGAAAGCAGCTGCTGGAGCCCTGTGCCCTTTAAATCACCACCAGAGCCATATGTGGTGTGATCCAGACTATGCTGAAGGCATGGTCCATGCAGTGTTGTGGGATAGCTGTCCTGGCCCCACCCCTTCTGACCGAGGTACCTCCTCTTCCCAGTGCACACTGCCAGCCCAGGGGGTCTGTCAACCAACCACAAAAAGGAGGACCATGAGAGCTTTCTTAAGAACATGGGTCCTCATGCGACAATGGCACCCAGAACTTTGCACGACTCTGCTCACAAAGGCTGTTATACTGACTCAATCTGATGGCCCATTTAGACTATTTTCCTGCTTCCAAGTTTTAAGAGAAGATCAAAGATCTCCAGTTATGCTATATTATGAGGTAATATGGAAAAAATCATCTTCCTGACCTCCACAAGTAATAATGACATCCAGAGACATGAGGTTTCGTTTCCCATGTCATATTGATAACTGTGATATAAACTCTCTAATGCTGGCTCCATACGTCAATTGTATTTTCATAATCAAGTAAATTTAAGGGTAACTGTTTCCAGGTTTCCCAATGTATGTAATCGTATCTTATGGAATCAAACTTCCAGTATTAAAAAAAAACCTTACCATGCAGTATTCAGTAATGGCCATCAGATACAGAAAAAAGATTAGTAATAACCTACACCAGAAGCAAAAGATTTTTTATTGGACTAAAATATACTTAGGAATATGTGTGTAGAACTTTGGGTTTTTTATAAAAATTTAATTTTATGGCACTTGATAGGAGATAACAATGTGACTTTGGAAAGGCTTTTCACATTTGTAGGGATCTTACATAACTTAAAAGTATTTTTTAATTAATCCACTGCAGGTTGCTCAATGGGACACTGTATGCATCAAGCCATCAAACGCCAAGTGTGGAACAAAGGATCAAAGGGGAGACCACATACAATGGAATGCTGGGAGCTCTGAAACTACAATGAGAAAGTTAGCAAAATCTGAAATTATCACTAGGACTGACTGCCTTTGGATGATAGCAAGGATCAAAAATTGGAACAAAAATGTCTGCTTGGAGACAGAAATTTGGGTCCATTTCATGTGACTACTATCTGCCGCAGAGGCACATAAGGGTGTGCAACAGATCCTCACGTGGTTTTAAAAACATCAATTTACTTAATCTTCCAGACTTTGAAAATGCTACTGTAACAGGGTTCACACACGGGCCCATCAACCTTTGATCCCTTTTGTGCCCACAAATCATCAGGAAACCTTTCTTTTGGTGCAATCTCCCATGCCCTTCATTGTCCATAGAATTATAGAACACTAGAACTGGAAGGGATCATCAAGTTCAGTCCCCCGCCCCCATGGCAGGACCAAGCATGGTCTAGATCTTCCCTGACAGATGTCTATCTAACTTCCTCTTAAATATCTCCAGTGATGGAGATTCCACAACCTCCCTAGGCAATTTATTCCAGTGTTTAACCACCCTGACAGTTAGGAAATTTTTCCTAATGACCAACCAAAACCTCCCCTGCTGCAATTTAAGCCCATTGCTTCTTGTCCTATCATCATAGGCCAAGGAGAACAATTTTTCTCCCTCCTCCTTGTAGCACCCTTTTAGATACTTGAGAACAACTATCATGGCCCCTCTCAGTCTTCTCTTTTCTAAGCTAAACAAGCCCAACATAGACCTGCTATAGTCACAGGAGAGGCACGCCTCCCCTGGTCCCAGTACGGACGTGCTGCAGCAGTTCTGCCCCAGCAGCTCCATGCTGGGACCAGAGGAAAGAGGCAGTTTCCTTGCAGCAGTTCTAAGCTGCTGTGTGGGGCTTGCTAGGGAACTGCACAATTGTGCAGCTTAGAGGGTTCTTAGGTTACAACCACCAATTTCAACTAAGTTTACTAAAAACAAAATAGTCAATGTTTTCTTGGTATCATTTGAAAATTGTGTTCAGCCTTTGCAGCATGGATAATGGTAAAGGAGTAGACACTGGACTCACATGTGATAATTGTGCAGATCAGCAAACTAGTAATTACTGATTAGTGTTGATGTCACAGGGCCATTGCTTCTCCCCAGTTCCAGAGTGGATGCCGCCATGCCCAGTGTCAGTCAAAGAGGTTTATTTTTCATAACAGAGGTTAAGAACTGAACAGAATGTCTCAACCCAGTTCTTGGTCCCAGGCTTCAGGGCCACCTCTCCCAGAGGTCTCTGGCATTCCGGCTCCTGGCAGATTACCAGCCTCATCTCTACTCCCTACTTGGAGCAGCAGGCACAGGGCTGTTTTCCTGGCTTCTTGCTCTCAGGACTGCGATAGGAATTAGTTCCACTCCAATACAGCTTTCTCCTCAGTGTTCAGCCTCTCTCAGTCCTTCCTTCCTTCAGATGCCCGCTAAAAGCTCTTTGTAGCCCCAGGTGTAGTGAGGTCCTCTTTAGTTAGAGCCAAGTTCCCCTAGAAATTTAGCTATATACTAAGACCAGCTGCCACATAACAGTAGACAAAAATGGGTAAGAGGACAATGTCAAGCAATAACAAATGTTAACAAAGATAACAGTGGCAGACTGGTAAGAAATGAGAAAGGAAGATGGGATGAGAGAGTTTATTTCATAGCCTGTAGGAGTTTTTGCAGACTAGTAAGCGAGACAAGATTTTCAGTATAGGGCCTAAAATTAGCCTCCAAAACATCCAAATAAGCAGTCAGATTTTTCAAAGGAAGCTGCTGACTACTAAGTAACGTATTAGGCATTTAAATATAGATTTAGAAGACTAAGTATAGACTTTTTTTAAAAAAAAATCTTCACTACATTTTTTATCCTTCCCCTCAAAATTGCATCCATTTTGTCTGTTGTGTGGTGCTTGCACTCATGCTTATGTGGGCATATACATGCTTTTAAAACAATTATGTTGCAACACTTAACCACATCCAATATTTCAACCTCCTACTTGCCTAAAAAAGTCTCTGCTGTTGGTACAAGAGTTGTTTTGTTTTGTGTAGAATATAGTTTCACAAATGATGCACTGAGGCATATCGGTAAATGGTAATCTGTCTACAGCAAAGCCGAGCAAGTAACAAAAGGCCCTTCAATCCCCTGTACCAGGGAGTCGCAACAGTAGGGCCGGTGGCCAGCGGGGCTCCCCCCATCTGGTGCGGTGTAGGAGAACCAGGAAGAGGGATTTGGGGCAAGAGCCACTGACCTATTGCCAATGACTGGCAATGTGGACAGCATCAACTCCAGCTGGCCACTTTGCTCCTGGTGCAACTGCCCCATGGTCATTCTGCAGCGTAGCTGATTCCTGCGTTCACTGCCCCCTGTGGTCACTCTGCAGTATGACTGTCCCTCTTATCAGCTCCCTCCTTTTTGCTGTTATGGAATACAATTGTATTCCAGACACATTGCTGGCACTTGATGGCATATATCACATTAAAGGATATGCATCTGTATGAGTCCTTGATGTTGTGGCTCATGTGGTTAGGTCCTGTGACGGTATGGCTAGGTCCTGTGATGGTATATGCCATCAAGTACCAGCAATGCCCCTCTACTTTGTATATTGGCCAAATCGGATAGTCTCTGTGACAAAGGACACAAATCAGACATCAGAAATGGTAACACACATAAATCTGTAGGGGAACATTTTCACCTGCCTGGTCTCTAAGTCATGGATTTAAAAGTAACTATTCTTCTACAAGAGAATTTCACCACCCAATTACTGAGACTGCAGAACTAGAATTCATCTACAGATCTCAAGTATCAGAGGGGTAGCCGTGTTAGTCTGAATCTGCAAAAGCGATGAGGAGTCCTGTGGCACCTTATAGACTAACTGAAGTGTAGGAGCATAAGCTTTCGTGGGCAAAGACCCACTTCGTCAGATGCATGTATGCATCTGACGAAGTGGGTCTTTGCCCACGAAAGCTTATGCTCCTACACTTCAGTTAGTCTATAAGGTGCCACAGGACTCCTCGTCGCATCTACAGATCTGACACTCTGACCTTGGGCTTGAATAAAGACATTAACTGGTTGGCACATTACAAAAACAATTTATACGCCAGCTCATCTGATGAAATGGGTTTTACCCACAAAAGCTCATGATGCTATATATTTTTGTTAGTCTCTAAGATGCCACAGCACTACTCATCATTTGACTTTAGTTCATTTGCCACTGAACATATTTAAGAAACATGGGTGAAGCATGTGAGCAGGGAGGGAAGCCTGAATTACCACTGTCTATGCCATTTCAGAGGGCTTAAACATATCAGTGCAGGGATTAAAAATGAGAAGGAACTGTCTGAAGTCTGCCTAATGTTTCTACATTGTGGTTTTAAGAAGCAGTATGTTTTCCAAGTTGGTTCTATATATAACAGCTGCAGGACAGGCAAGCAAATAATTTGTATTATTATTATGTTAATTAAAAGATTACTGTGAAGAAATACTTTTCCAACACTGCTAAGACACAAGCCTCTCCCTCAGGGTATGATCAGTTAACAGGAGTTACAGGAAATCTTTTAATTTATTATGTGTGTTCTGATGATGCAATGTTGAGCATGATAGCAAATCATACACTTTGCAAATAAAGTATTGCATAATAGCTCAGAAGTTATTTGCCTAGATCTGTTGTTACATTTTTATTATAACAACCTTCTTTAAGACAAAGGCCTCACCTCATTTACACTTACTCCCAACACAACACAAAGCAGTGTGTGGTTACAGCTGAAGATAGGGTGGGGGAAAGGGAAAGTGCTCAATGCAAATGCTATGCTTTTTCTGACAGTGAACGTACATGAAAACAGTGTTTCTCAACCTTTGTTTTTTTAATAAAGTACCCCTTTTTTAAAAAAAAAATACCCCAGTTAAAAAAATTATTAGTACCTCCAGTACAGGCAGTCCCCGGGTTACGTACAAGATAGGGACTGTAGGTTTGTTCTTAAGTTGAATTTGTATGTAAGTCGGAACTGGCGTCCAGATTCAGCCACTGTTGAAACTGACCAGCGGCTGACTACAGGAAGCCCGAGGCAGAGCTGCTCTGCTCCAGGCTTCCTGGTATCAGCCGCTGATCAGTTTCAACAGCGGCTGAATCTGGACGCCCGGGGCAGAACAGCTGGGGGGCCACCC